GCACCTGTCAACGCTAGTGGTGGTGATCTCGGCGGTTCGAGCTGGGCATGACTCATGAGTCATCTTGGAGCACCAATAGCGGTCCTCCACGTGTCTAGGGTATTCTCTTCCCCAAACAATATGTATGGTTTATGAATCTACTAGAATATCTCCATACGGCTGAAAGTCTCACCCAATTCCAATTATATGCACCCGATAACTCGACTTTAGAGACGACATGAGTAATTGTGGGTCGAAAACCGTGTCGGATCCTCAACCTATAAATAGAGGGTCTCACTTCCACATTGCATTCTAGCTCGATCTTAATATCTAGATTGAAGTTAAATTGACTTGAGCGTTAGAATATTTGTCTCTCTTGTACATGTCTTTCCTTGAAACTCAAACTATCCCTGTCAACCACCCTTAGATCAGGTTCGATTTTGACCAATTTTTATTGCACAAACAATAATAGTGGTGGTTGATTAGGTCATGTAGCCTCTCCTCCAACAAAAGCTGTGTCGTTACTGTCATCAATTTCTCAAGCAAGAATTTCGTCATTACTTGTAGCATCTCTTCTCTATCCAACTTCACATAAAAGGTTGCTCTTGTACCAAAACTAATGTAGATTACATTGATCTTGAAAATTGTATTATTATTAATGTTGTAAACTCTATACATAATAAATTCATTCAATAGGCTCAAATAGTAGAGGTAAAATGCAACTACCTACCTTTAAAACTCAACAAGGCTAAATAACTGCACCTTTGGGTGTTGACACCCAAAATCCAGGTTTGAGCCCTCCTGGAAGTCAAAAAAAAAAAAAAAAACAAGGCTAAATAGCCCGAATCTGACTAAGAAAGTACAAAATCGAAAATTATAAATTACCTATTAAACCTAATCTTAAAATCACCTAGAAAGATCTCCATAAAACTCACAAACTGATAGCTTCCAAAGAGTCTGATTCAACCACGGTTTTCCTTAAATATTATAAGTTAAATATATTTTAAAATTTTAAAATAAACCCGATATATATATTTTTTTATAAACGTATGAAAAAATAAATCTGTAAAAAAAATAATGAGCAGTTTTTTTTCCTTTCAAAAACTAAAGATTTTACATCTTTTTAAATAAGGATTGAAAAAAAAAATCACTAGAATAAAAAAAAACAAAGTACCTAATTTGGTTATTCTTACATTTAACAACTATTTGATGATTTGATGATTTGAAAAACTTTGAGAAATGTATTTTTTATGGATGAAGAAAAAGTTTTATTGCATAATATCCTCATAATTTATTTTTGAGTTGTCTACATACAGTTTCAATCTTAATCTTACAAAAATTTTGACTAGGAAATTAATAATTATTTAATCTAAAATAACTCGCTTGTTAAAACTCCCTAACTTTTATTAATTATTTACTATGTAATATGAATCCAATTATTATGCAATTACTTTTTCTCAATCTTATTCGGTTACGAATTCTTTGTTTTTTTTCCTACATTTTTTCTTAAATTTCTAATTTTTTTCTTGCAATCTTGGAGTAAATTACTCAATGAATATTAATCCAAAATTTAGTATCAACTGTGAAGATGGAGATAGTTTTTCAAGAAAATATATGAAACTATACATGTGTGTGTGACAAAATTGCCTTTATGTATACTAATGTAGGGTCATAAATTTCTTTTATGGACGATAAGGTACGATTTTCAACTTTTTCTTCTATTTTATTTTATAACTTCTATATTTAATTTGTATGTAATATTATATGTAATTTAAAATATAATATTTTATATTTTACACATTTTCTTTTTTTTCACCTCATTTTGTGCAAAGTTGACAAAAAATTGAATTCTAAAAAATTATGTATACATATTTAGAGCCGAAGAACAAATATACCATAATTTACTAAGCTTGAAGACTAACCAAGATACTTTAAAATATATTTTTAAACAGATTCTTCTTTAATCATGGTCAAATTTATTAAACACTTCTTTATTGGATATTAGCATAGCGTAGCTTAATTAGTTGGATTGACTATTCCCTGCTCTCTTTTATGCGGTGCAATTACGCCTATCAAGGATATTAATACATGCTTTACCAAACAAATTCAATATGGTGCTAATGAAGCCATCAAAGACTACAACCAAAAGAACGTACGTACTTTTGATCTTTCTTTTATTTAGATTATTTTAGACTTTTACAATGGATTATTGTTTGTTTCTATTTCTAATTTTAATTTAAACCTTACACAGAATACTAATTTTGAGGTTGTGGAGATTGAGAAGGCTAATCTTGGAGGAAGTTCCGGCATTAGGTTGTACATCACCTTTAAAGTGAAACCTTCTGATACGCCTGCTGAACACCCAACCACTACATTTCAGGCTAAAGTGATAGATGGTCTTGATGGCTATTGCATAGAACTTTGCAGGATTAAGCCTTCAAATTAAGTGCCATTGCCCTTTATTTTCATCTGGATTCATTACGGTCCTTTTCTCATTTGAAATCAACTAATCCTTTTTATATTTCAATCCCGTAGTTTGCTTTTGATTTCATCGACATTTTTAAGTAGTAATTAATTTTCTTGCTGCTCATATTGGTTATTTTTAGAAGCATTGTTGTAGATTTGACTCTTGTACTTGGGTTATTAAATGTGTTTTTTTTAGCTATTATTCTAGCATGTGTATAAATATTTTGATCCTCAAACACCCAAATTTTATGTTAGTACTATGGATGCACGTGCCCTTTTGTTAAAATCAACATTTTTTATCCAAAATTATCTTTAGAGGAAAAAAAAAACAAGTTTGGAGGATGATGTTAATTTTTTTTTACTTTACTAGATCTTCAATGTCAAGTGTACAAATTTCTGACTTTGGAATAGAATTAAAGAAAAGACTCAGTCAAATGAACAAGCATCCATAGCTAACCCATCATAGAACCAATTTATGATGAAAAGCTGCAATCCTCCTAAACTAAAAGGATGAGTTTTTTCTTGACGGGCCAATTTAGGTAAGGTACTTGTTATTGGTAGTTGTTTACTTTATCGTTCTTTAGTCTATTATTTTATTTATTTATTTTGTTCGGAGGAGAGATATCTAACTTTTCATTGAGAAAAATGAAAAAAGAACAAAAGTGCAAAGGACATAAAAAACACCTGGCGCTACACCGAGAGGCCCACCTAAGAAAGGAGCTCCAATCCAAAAGGATAAATCCTAATTGGTAATTATAAAAAAACTTTAAAAACGACCCTACAAGGAAGTAATAAATCTAATAAGATCTCAAACATACTCCCTAGATCTCACCATCTCTAGATATTCTATTATTTCTCTCAATCCAAATCGCTACGAAATGGCAAAATAAATAAGTCTGCCACAAAAGTCTTCCTTATCTCGAAAAGAAGGGAGCAACAATATATCATTCATCAGAGCCTAGTCTATTCCTCCCGTTACAAATCTCATAGAACTAAAACAACTAGAAATATATTGAAATATAAAAACATAGAATAACACAATAACTCTCAAGTAATTCAAAATAATACTTGGACCTCCTCTCTCTAGTTTTGTATACACATCAAAAAGAAATGTGGGGAAGCACAAGGCAGAATGAGACACCTCGCATTGTTATACCAACAATAGTTATTGCACTCTTTTGAATAACTTCAAACTTCTTAATATTAGTATTATGTTTCATATTCGTGATATTTTGTTGATTTTTATATTTATGATACTATGAAAATTCCGTTCCACTCATGTCGATATCAAACCTTTTTTTAGTATAACTAACAAATGTAGGGACTGAAGATTGAAATGCCAATAATATCAAACATGCAAACACGTGTACAACTCAGAGTTTTGTATTAAACTAAAACAATAGATATTTATCACTATATTAATGAAAGTTAACAAAAAAAAAAAAAAGTAAGGAAATTATTTTATTACTTTGAATCAAAATTAATAATCATCATCTTTTTGTCCACAAGACTTGAAGAAACCAATGAAGATAATAAACCCTAATCCAAGAGATGCTGCACCACCCAACACAATTGCTATCAACTTCCCATGCCTCGAACCATTCTTGTCACCTTCTATATAGATATAGAGAGAAAAGAGAGATCAGATCAATTTTAAAATTTAATTTATAATTAGTATTTTTTTTCATGGCTTAATAAGTCTGTAATATATTATTATTATTAATATTTTATAAATGCTATGTTTTTCCTAACTTTTTTTTTTTGAAACACCAATGTTTTTCCTAACTACAAAAACAAGAACCCTGAGAAGTTTACATGTAAGAGTAGTTTCTAAGAAGAATAAATGTACATAATTGACGATTGTACCCACACTTTTTTAATTTATTTTAATTATTTGAAAATAAACAGTATTATTTATTTAGATGGAGAAAGGAATTTGGAGAGAGATAAAACATTAAAAAGAGAAAGAAAAATAGATTCTGTTCAACGTTTTTATAAAGAAAAGAAAAAGAAGTATATTATTGTTTATGGTGGTATTTGAAGAGATTTTGAAAAGATCCGAGAGATTATATAATATATTCTTCATTAAAAAAAATGTTGGACAGGTGGGGCAAGTCTATTGGTCCACGTGTCTGGACGCAGCCAACATTTAACCATCATTAAATAATTTATTATTTTATTTCATAAAACCGCTAGCATCATTCTCACCAAATTAGATATTGATCGCTGCGACCACATTAACATTTTAACACAGAGAAAGGAAGGTAAAAATAAAAATAAAATACTATTTTGATAACTTTGGTTAATTTTCGTTTCAACTTTACTCAATTTTAGTCTTTTTACTTTCAAAATGTTTGTTCTAATTTCTATACTTTAAAAAGTGATATTTTGTGACCGCTTAATTTTATTTTTAACCATTTTTTTATTATAATTTCAACGCAACATTATACTCAATATTTTTTATTTTCTAAAATATAATAATAATCTTATATTAAAGTGTTTAGATTAATTGTAGAACTTTTGTTAAAGATTTACAAATACAGACTAAAATAGTCAACAAATATAGTACCAAAATAAATTTTTTAAAAGTCCAAGACACTAATATAAATTAAAATTGATTGTACATATAAATCAACATTTTAAAACTACGACAATCAAAATGAAGCTACCAAAACCAAACCGAGCATAATTCAAGTAGTTAAATCACCTATTTCCGACCAACAGATCATGAGTTCAAATCCCACACCTACATATTTTGTATAAAAAAAAAAGAAAAATGAAGCTACTAAACCCTGCCCGTATGTTTTACTAAAAAAATATTCTTTATTTATTTTTTTCTTTAAAAAAAGAAAGAGTTCTGTCTAATTTTGTTTAGGTTACCGGAGTAGGTAGAATAGGTGACAGAGCAGGCATCCAAATAAACTTCTCCGGCGGGCTTGCGGCGGCACTCCTCCCTGACGAGCTCGACGGCGCCGGCGACGCACTCCTCGCAGTCGCACCCCCACAGATCTCCGTGGCACCGCGCCGCCGCCCGGACCGCCGCATTTCCGGCCTCGTAAAACCCATTCCGGCTACTCCCAGTCGCAACGGCCTCTTCCACCGCCGCAAGCGCCGCCTCCAACGCCGCCGCATAATAATCCCCGGCCTTCCCACACGCCTTCCCAACCAACTCGTACTTCATTCTGATGATCTCCTCGGCCCCATCGCCGTGGCACTGTGGGACCCACATGATTACAACGGCGCAGCAGAGGGCTAACAATTTTGTTCTGTAATTTTTATTTTTTGATGGGCAACAAGAATAAGAAGAAGAACAAGAAAGTGGAGATTTCGAGATGGCAATTTCTTCTTCCATTGGTTTTTTCACAAKTTCACAGACACACACAACTTAATTAGTTAGGGAAGAAGAAGAGATTAACTTTTCATTTACCGGACTACTAATATATATTTATATATGATTTGAATGGTGGGTGGGTCCCACGAACCAAATAATATATTTATGCTTTAAATACTATTTTCATTATTGTTCTAAAAAAAATTGTGTATATATATATATGGGATAAAGTTGGGATGTGATGCGTTGGAACTTCGTCCAACCACATGGGTCTGAGTCTGGTAAAGGTCTTGAAATGATCGAATTCATTAGTCCAACTCTCGAGCATATTGACTATTGGACCGAGTGTACTGAAACATCTCAAGGCCCCTACGATCCCTAGACGCAGCAAACAACGCCCTCTTATATGCAACCCTAAATTCTACAAACGACTCACTAAGAGAAAACGACTTATCTCAAGAAGACTCTTACCCTCAAGATTACTCTCTTCTTACTTTATACCTATCTGCTCCCTATCTAGAGYATCAAACCAATACTAGATTTCTATGTGCAGGTGTATCAAGACATTGGAGACGAAAACGTACGTATGTAGTACCTGTGTAGCACCTACATGGATTTCACACACACACACACATCTTTTAATTATCCTTTAATACAAATTTCTAACTATATCTCATAAATTTCTTGAGTRYAGTGTTGGGTTGAAATTGTGTGATTGAAAAAAATAATAATAAATGAATGGACCAAAACAGTCATTTATTTTTAAGTACAAGAAACAAAATGGACATTACAAATCTCTATAGGGATTAAAATGAACAAAAGTTTATAGAAACCAAAATGAATATTTTGAAAGTACCTGAGTCAAAATAAATGTATCAAACTTAAAAATACATGGACTAAAATAATATTTAAACCTATATCTATTAATTATATTGCCTATCGTATCTATTCCAAACATGCTGAAATATTTTCCTTTTATGTTTTCATGACATGGAGACATGTGAATCTACATTGATTTATTATGCATATTTTCACGAAAGAATATTTGCTTAACATGATGTATAAGATGTGACTTTTAATACGATGATGTTGTTGTTAGGATTTTATGGAAGGATTGTTTCACATATATATGTGTATCACCACTGATTTACACAATTTTGATTAATCTCACGAGACGTCCACCTAATTCACCTAATTTTGTTAATATTAGTTGCAGGTAATTAAGGGCGCATAATTTTAATATGTATGAGTAAAACACTTTTGACCTTTTGGAATTGAATTTAGTTTCCTTCCTACCTTCAACTAAGACRGAGTAACTCTACACTTTTTTATTTTATTATTCAAGACAAGAATGAATGAGATTTGTTAAGATTTAGAGAACCAAAGTTGGTCATCTAATATGCTGCTAATGGTTGTAAAACCGCTTAAACTAAAGTTTCAAATAACTTACTTTTTGACACGGTCAACTTTTTTATTAAACAAATAATTGGTTAAAATCTTATAAAATGATTTCGGAATGACTAGAATAACTTTATTTAGGCTTACTTTTGATTTTAAAATAGGCATGTTTTGATAATGATTCCGSAATGATTTTGGAAAAACAAAAAATCATTTTAAGGAATCGTTTGTTTTTTGGGAATGTAGATGTCCAAGTTTGAAATTTTAGATGTCCAGAATTTTAGATAATCGACATCTTCAGATTGCTACGTTTCTTGGTAGGAAAATATATAAGGATGTCCAAAAATATTTGGATACCCACATTTGTTTTGCAKGATTTATTCATGGGAATGTTCTAAATCTATATAATATTCCAAAAACGCCCTTACAAATATTCATACAATGTATACCTTAATCTAATAWAATTTACATTTATATACTAGACTTTCTTAAAATTAATTTAATTATTTTAGGTTTTTTATATTAATTACGTATTAATTTTTTATGTTATTCGGTAGAATTCATATTAATATAAGATTTTTTAAAAAGTAATTAATATTGAATATAAATTTATTTTCAACTTTAATATTTWAAAAAAACACAATTATATAATTAATGTTATATGTGGTAAAATTCATTTATTATATTATCAAATCATATTATTTTAASAAGAAAAATATCAMAGATAAGCRGATYGTTAAATARAAAAATTAGTTTCAAAACTAATTTTTATTTTAAATTACAAAWTTTTTCGTTCTATTTTACCTCATTTTCACCATTAATTTTGGGAAAATTTATTATTCATTTATTTATTTGTTTTTCTTTTTTTACAGATTCTAAAAATTTTGTCTCTCTTAACATATATGTTTAATTTTGTATGTTCTAAWTTTTTTTTCTTTTTAAAGTTTTTTAATCTCTTCATATATTTTTAGTCCCACCACTTTCTAAATTTATTTCTCTGTTTAAACTTTTTGTTTCTCATTGTCTAAAATTACCATGTTTTTTCATCCTACTTAATGGTGTTAAACAAATTGTCAAATCTATGTTATTAATAAACACAAAATTAATCATAAAAAATAATTTTTAATTATATAAAAAATCACTTTAAAAAACATGCGTAACCAAACGTCAAAATAATTATATAAAAATCASTTCCATCACAAAATTACTAGTCTGTAATATTTTTTTACTTAAATCACAGTTTTACTACTCAATTAATTGAAAACTATATTTTATTTCAAGGACACATTATCATTTTGTACATTTTTAAATTTCATCGTGAATTTTTTAAATTTTCAACTTTATCCTTTGCATATTGTTTTTTTTTTCCATTAAAAGATAATCTTTGTCTATGATGCATGCTCTACTACTTGATCTGTGCTCTACCGAATGCACTTTGATATTTAAATTAGAATGAAGACAGAAAAAACAGTAAGCATGATGTAAAGAGTGTTAGAGTTTGCTMGAGTGTGTACTATTGCCGAATGCTCGTAGGAAATTGTATAGGAAATGCGACTCATCTCGCGTTAGGGTTGGCATGCATTTTCTTTAAACTTATGGAGGAATAWATAAAAAAGGTAACGAAGATATATGAAAAGAACATAAGCCACCAAAGTTAACTATAATTAGCATAGAGACGATGGTTCTGGTTCTGAAAACAAACAACCAATGAAGAAGTCACCAAAATAAAACCAAGACTAAATATGTTCCCATTTTACCCCTATTGCATATGRAAATCCAAATTAAAGCTAGCTTCACGCGTGAAGAGCGAAGAAGGAAGGCAAAAATTCAGTTAGAAATTACAACCATACACGTAGGCATTGTTGGTTGGTTAAGAAAAAAACTGGATGGGTACGGTGTTTAATTAAAAGGGTGTGGTCCTCCACAATTCCCTGTTAGTAGGTTGGGGCCCACAGCGCATCTCCTCTTTTACACAATCCATCCTCCCTACTCACCGCCGTCGCCGCCGTCGCCGCCGACGACCACCGAAACCAAAAGCAAAAGCAAAACCAAAA